ATTGTACTTCGGCTACAGCCTCAGTGACTACTAGTCACCAATTTTACTTTTGCTACGGCCTCAGTGACCACTAGTCACCAATTGTACTTCGGCTATGGCCTCAGTGACTACTAGTCACCAATTTTACTTCGGCTATGGCCTCAATGACCATGTGTCACCAACTTTACTTTAGCTACAACCTTAGTGACCATTAGTCACCAATTTTACTCTGGCTACGGCCTCAGTGACCACGTGTCACCAATTTTACTCTGGCTACGGCCTCAGTGACCTCGTGTCACCAATTTTACTTCGGCTACGGCTTTAGTGACCACGTGTAACCAATTTTACTTCAGCTTTGGCCTCAGTGACCCCGTGTCACCAATTTTACTTCGGCTACAGCTCCAATGACCACATGTCACATATTTTATCCCGATTTCGGCTATAGTGATCTCGCATCACCAATTTAACCTCGATCATGACTATAATGCAACGATCATTATAATTGAATCATATATTGCATAGATTGTTAGTTGCTTCTCTCAACATATTTCATTATGCATCTCCCCATGATTATACGCAACCTTTACCACCTCCGACTAAGTCATTCACAATGACTTAGAGGGAAATGGTGTAAAGATAGGTCCGAGGTTAAAGACCTCGGACGTACTGCGACATTTCCTTAATAACTAAAGTAACACATAAATTCAGTTCTTCTTGGTCATGCAATTGCATGACAGATACAGTAGGCATGTTTGCACCCAATCCTCTATCCCCGAGATCATTGCCTGAATAGACATGTCAGACTCCGATTATCTCATTAAGCAGGCCACATGGATACCTCATTAAGGCCTATAAATACCCCAAGGGGTCACCTCAAAAATGTAATTGAAACCGACCTAAAGCTTCTTTTTCCATAATTCTTAAAGGTAGACCAAACTATTGCTAACTTAAGCATCGGAGTATCTACCCTAAGAATCCACCTTGAGGTTTTACAGGTCATCCTGAAGAGAAGACTTGGATTGGAAGAAGTTATCTGGTTTGTTGCAATTATACAATTACAACTTGCTGATCTTATTACATTTCTCCAGAATTTCTCCGTCTAAGGTTTGCAAAAACTGAGGCTCGTCATCACATGCTGTGACGATGGGTCTTGTGTGATAGTGAAGAGACCCAAGTTTGGTGTCCTTGCTTGAGCTTGAGTGACAAAAAGGTACCCAAATCTATGGTTATGTCAGTGAACATTATGAAGGGGGAGAGGAAGAAAAGGAGAAAAATGAGCAAAGAGGGAACTAAGAGAATGGGTTGCTGGATCAATGATATGGGTGGGAAGATGACCGGAAATGAGAGAGGAGAGAAAGGTAGAGTGGGGAATCAGTGATCTCAAATCTGGTTTCCTTGTTCTCGCGCGAGAAACCCAAATCTGGGTTCTTTGATATATTATCCTCCAAGCAAAACCATTTCATTCTCCCCCTCCATTGCTTGCCTATACAAAACCATAAAATCTTCCAAGAAAAGCCATCCAAAAAATGGAAAAATAGAGAGCAAATGGAGAACTTCAATGAATCCGTTGCCGAATCAATCATGCAATTCTTCTTTGAAGATGGAGAGAACCATTTCGTTTTTTTTTAAAGTTTAGTGGTACCTAATGATTTCATGGCAAATTGTTGTTTTTGAAATGGTTAGGTACAATTTGAACCCTGCACCTTCAAGTCTTAAAATGAAAACGAGAGACAAAAGAGAGCCAAATTTTAAAATTTCAAGAGCTAAATTAAAAAATTTTTAAGTTTAAATATTAAGTTGGAGATCTAATTAAGAATAGGTGGATTTAACTAGGCGATAAAGCAAAAGTAATCTATAGGGTAATCTTTTTTTTGAAGTGAAACAAAAATTTTAGATTCAAGTTGCAAGAATAAGAGTGGGTTAATAAAGAGATGAAAAAGGTTATAGATCCGTTTAGCATGATGATTTGGAGGTAATGGTTAATGATTTTATCCAAACTAATATATAATATGTATTTATTAAATTTATTTATTTCTAAACAAATATGAATTAATTGTTTGGTAAATTTTTTAATAACATTAGCAATTTGGGACTAGTAATAGTAGTTAAAGTTTAAACTGTTAGTGGATTGAAAAGGTTATCTTAAAAAGCTAACTGTTAGAGAAAAATAGCTTTGTATCAAACTATTAGTGAATTAAAATTTTTTAATTTTATTCACTAATATATTCATTTTAATTATTCAAATCTTTTGCCTGTCTATAATTACTAATTATTTAATTAGATTCATCTTTAATTTTTCTCTTTAATAATATTAAGGCTTTCTTTGAGAGTGTTTGTTTGTAGGTGTAACTATAGTTTTTTTTTTAGTTTTTTAATATTTTAAAAATATATAAAATATATTTAATATTTATTTTAATGAATATTTTATATATTTTTAGAACAATGAAAAGTCATAAAAACAAAAAATTAAAGTACTTAAAAGTGTTCCCAAATGAAGCCTAAGTGATTATTATATTTTATTTTTTATATTAACTTATTATAAAAAAATTTATATTAGTTTCATAAACAAAATTTACTAGTTAAAATTAACAATTTGTTTCATCTCTATTTAAGAATAATATAATTTTTTCTTTGTTAAAAATAAAAAGGAGTGTGTGATTTGCACTTATATATTTTATTTCATTTATTCTTTGAATTTCACTTATTCTTTTTATTATTGTTATTTTTTATAAAATTAATAATTTTAATAACCAAAAATATATATATAAAAAAAAAGGAAATACACTAAACTGCTTTTAAATTTACCCTTATTAGTAGTTTAATGTCAAAAAGCAATTGTTAATCATTGTATAATCAAATGATTATATCAATTAACAACCACCATCTACTATTCACTACTCCTTTTCTTTATCCACCATTTGCCATTCGTTATTCATTATTCGCTACTAACTACTCCTTTCCCTTATCCACCATTTGTTATTCGTTATTCATTATTTGTTACTAGCTATTGTTATTTGTTGCTCAATACCAATTGAATTTTAACCACTACATCAAATAAGTCATCTCTCATTGTGTAACTTAAAATCATAATAATTCTTTCACAAAATTTCTTTCACATGCAGAAATTTGTAAATACCATGTGAAAGTGGGAGGATATCTTAGAAAAAAACAACTTCACCGGAAAATATTGAGAAATCTTCGGCATATTTTCAGAGATATAATCAGGGCTACTACAAAAAAAAAATGAAGACTGACGCTTGAAGATATTAATGGCAATTTTTGACACTTCAAGGGATGGTAAATATTATGTTCAGAAGACAATTTTGAAGGATAGTTGCATGAGAGGCCCAAGTACAATGTCTCTCCAGCACTAGGAATAACGACGGTTCCATATTAAACGTCAGTTGATGGGGCCACAAGCAGTCATCCATTATGCGGTTAAAACCAATTTTAACCCATAACCTTATAATATGATATTTTTAGTCTTTTATCTTATAAAATTAGTAAGTTTTAATCATTTACCTTACAAAGTTGGTAAGTTTTAACCCCTCACCTTATACTATGACACTTTTAGCCCTTTATCTATACGAATTAAAAAAAATAACCCTAACTTAACATGAGATTATAATATTCTGTTAGTTTTGTTAGTTGATTATCAGTTTTATTAACTGACTGTTAGCATCCGTTAACATTCTGTTAATGGAACTAACATATAAAATTGAATTTAAATTTCATGTTTTTCTATAACGGAATGCTAACAAATGTTAACAATTAGCTAACAGAACTAACAGAATATTATAACTTGATGTTAGGTAAGGGCTACTTTCTTCAATTCGTATAGATGAGGAGCTAAAA